AAAAAAAAAAAAAAAAAAAAAAATTAAGGGAGAAGGATTGTTTTTAAAGTATAAGGAAGGTCTTGCTGGATGCATCGATGTCAGTTAGTGATCTCACAAAATGTTTACATTTTACTTCCAAAAACAGATATTAAGTGACATGAAGCATTTTGTTTTTGAGATGAAGTGTGGTTATGCTGCCCAGGCTGTTCTCAGACTCCTGGGCTCAAATGATTGCTGTCCTACCTCAGCTTCTCAGGTTGCCGAGGTGACGGTTACATTCCACCACACCTGGCTCTGAAGCATAGATATTTTTAATTTGACTATAATGGGGAAGTAAACAAATAGAAAGTAAGCTATTTTTAGATAATATTATACCTGTTTAAGTTAGCAGAAGAATCTGTGGTTCCAAGTGCAACGATGCAAAGGATCACTAAAGTTTCAAAGTACCCTTCATTAAATATTATTCATTATTCATTGAAGAAACTGAATATTAAATGAACTTTGGCTTATTTGTCTATTTAGTTTCGGGAATTCCTGGGAACCTATAATAAACTTACAGAAACCTGCTTTTTGGACTGTGTTAAAGACTTCACAACAAGAGAAGTAAAACCTGAAGAGGTATGAAAAATGTTATTCACTAAAAATTCTCCAAGCTTGTCATAAAGCATTTCATTTATCCCTACTTATTACAGAAATTTGGGCTGCCTTTTATGTGTCATTGTTTAGAGGAACCAGATCAGTCAAGGATTCATGGCACTGTTAAAGTTTAATGTGACGTTTCCATTCTACCAAGCCAGATTTCTTTCTAGAAAATATGCCTGGGACTGCTGAGTTACTGCTTCATGGCAAAGATTCTTAATAATTACCATTAAGTCAAGATGGCCTAGCTAGGAAGACTTGACACAGCCTTTCTATTTGGCCCTGAGAATTGAGAATTAAATTTTATGTAAGTGGGCTGTGAAACAATCCTATTAGAAGTCTTTTAACGTCCTTATCAAAACATTTATACACTGGCCCAAAATGACATAAACTCCCTCCAGTGGAAGAAGCTGGTAAACCCCATGCCAGGCAACTAGCATATAACCAGCAATCCATAAGTATCTATTAAACACCTGACAAAATTTAGAAGCAATCTTAAGTATAATACTCTTGTTGAAAAGTATGAAGTTTTCATTAAAAAGAAGTCAACTTGCTACTGGATGTATATTTCAACAGCTTAAATAGGGGAAGGGATTGTGGTCTTTCAGTTCTTGTTGGAACACACCTACAGAAACTCCAGTTCACAAGCCTTGTGAATTATATATTAATTCCTGTAGTCACTAGCTACCCACTGATGCTACTGAGCTTGTAGTTATAGTCAAAGAATAGCAAGGTTCCTATTGGTTGTTCTTTTAGAATACATGCATTTTAGAAAATTGATATTTTGTGTTGCCTCTTGGATCTTCCCTTTTGATTTCTAGATCACCTGTTCAGAACATTGCTTACAGAAATATTTAAAAATGACACAAAGAATATCCATGAGATTTCAGGAATACCATATTCAGCAGAATGAGGCCCTGGCAGCCAGAGCGGGACTTCTTGGCCAGCCGAGATAGAGAAGTGCCACTGGCTGGACTCTGGGACGAGGCTGCCACGGCTGCTGCACTGGAGAAGAGGACTCATCCGGTGGAATCCCTGGGAGCGGTGGGCACCGTGTTGAGCTACTGTCATGACTTGTTCGGCAAATGGAAACCACTGGACAAATGAAACTGCTGCTCACCAGGAAAAATCAAAATAGAGGGTCTTATTGTGCGGTGAAAATAATAAGGTACAACATCTGTTGAGGCCTTAAGATTCAGTAGCTTGATCATTTAGAAAAATGAGCCACTGTTTCTTCAATTGTGACTGTTAATTTTAAAGCAAAATGTGTTCAATCATGTAAGAGAAAAACATCTATTACTGAAAGTGAAATAAATGGGAATATCCCTGAGCAGTTGTTTGTAATGTGTAGAACTATGTATTCTGGGCTGTGGACACGTTGAAGTGTCTCTCAGCTTCATTCTTCAAGTTTTCTTTTTCATTCTGCCTCAGATTGCTGGTAAATACATAAAAGAGTTATTTGCTAATGATTGAAATGCACAACCCTTTTCTTGCCTCCCTCCCTCATGAGGCTGGACCTTAACTGTTCCTACTCTGTCTGCACGTTCATATAAGTTCAGGGAACATCCCAAATGAGGCTGGCTTGGCAGTGCTTCCTTAAGGGTCAACTTTTATGCTGTAGTGAAGTCTGTCTTGTTTTGCATTTTGTCCAAAAGCTCTCAAAAGTCCAACATGAATGGGTTTTAACCTGACCAGTAACATACAATTTAGGGCCAGGGATTTAGCTCAGTGGATCCACTGCCATCCTTGTAAGCACAAGGTCCCAAGTTCGGTCCCCAGTACCCCCCAAAAAATACAGTTTATTGTTAGCCATGATACATTGAATAAAAAGTGAACCAGAGTTCAAGTAGGATCTTGGAGCCAGTGAATCCTGAAGCAACCCCCAAACATTTGCAGGAAATTCTAGTTTATGAGTGAGTACACTGAGCAGTTTAGTAAACGTGAGAGAACTAATACATATTTATTAATCAGCTAGACGGTGAATGGATTTTGTTACCAGTCTAAACTTGTGTTTAACGTGCTCACTTCAGCAGAACATATACTAAACTTGTGTTTAAGAGAACATTAACTAGCCACTGTTTTAAAATAATTCAACAAGTTCACCTGGCAAATGAGGGGAATTTTACACAGCAGCATCTCAAATACACGAGGGGTGCACGTTTGAAAGCCTTCCAGACTGCAGTTGCTCATAATACTAAAAGGGCATTGCTGAGATGTTCACCCCCATTCTGTGCTCTCCTAAAATACATGGGTAGGGCCGGGTATTTAGCTCAGTGGCTCTGCTGCCTGCCTTGCAAGCACAAGGACCCGAGTTTGATCCCTGGTATCAAAAAATAATAAAGTAAAATAGATGGGTAAATTTTAAGTATAACTTTAATGTTCTTTTTGTTTGTTTGTTTTGGTACTGGGGATCAAACGCAAGTCCTTATGTTTGTAAGGCAGGCAGCAGAACCACTAATCTAAATCACTGGCCCTTGCTTTTGTTTTTTGAGACAGGGTCTTGCTGTGTAGTTTAGGCTGATCTTGAAATTATGTAGCCCAAGCCGGCCTTGAACTTACAATGATCTTACCTCACCCTGCCAAGTCCTGGGATTACAGGTGTGTGCCACCATGCCCAGCTATCGTAATTTTAACTCTCTTCAAACTATGCATTGTACAAATTACCAAGCAAGCAACAAGCATTAAAAATCAAAACACAAGGCCAGGGATTTAGCTCAGTGGTTCTGCCCGCTGCCTTGCAAGCACAAGGACCCGAGTTCAATCCCTGGTACCCCCCGCAAAAAAAATTCAAAACATTTTAAAAAGGAAACTACAGGACCAGGGATTTAGCTCAATCTGCTGCCTGCCTCGCCTGCCCCAGCCCTGAGGTGTTTCTTTTTAATGCAATCTTTTATTAATATGAGATGAGATAGGTTATTTTTACACGTGTGATTGATGAAGTTAATTAGAATGAGCAGGTGTGGTGCACCTGTAATTCCAACACTGGCATTGTTGAAGCAGGAGGACTGATAGGAGTTCAAGGCCAGCCTGGACTACATTGTAGGACTCTCAAAAATTTTGTTAAAAATTAATTAGAAAAGGAATAACTGGCCAGGAATGGTGGCACACACCTGTAATCGCAGCACTCAGGAGGCTGAGGCAGGAGGATTGCTGTGAGTTCGAGGCCAGTTTGGTCTACATAGTGAGTTCCAGGTCAGTCTCATCTAGTGAGACCTTCTCTCAAAATACCAAAAAAGAAATGGAATAATTGCTGGGGATTTAGCTCAGTGGCATCACACCTGCTTTGCCAAGCGCAAGGTCCTGATTTCAGTCCCCAATACCAAAAAAATTAAATAATGTTCTAGGTAAATCGAACTTTTTATGTAATTTTTCTGGTTTTTTTTTGTGGTACCAGGGATCAAACTCAGGACCTTGAGTTTGCGAGGTAGGCAGTGGCACCACTGGGCTAAATCCCCAGCCCTCTTTGTCTCAAAGTTTTTAAATGAGTTTGAAGATGATAGGCTGTAAAGCAATAAGCAATGAATATCAGAATGATGAAAAACTAATAATATTTCCATGTAAGTTAGAACATGAATTCTTTCACTACTTGTTTTACTTTTAGGAAATAGGCAAATTTCAGTGGAATTAGTTAATGTTAAATATCTAATTAGTGCTACAATTAGGAAAATAATTTTTTAAATTGAGTTTATTGGTACATTTTAGGTATACAGTACAGTTACATTCATTGTTGGGATCCTGTACCTTCACATGACAGGTCTTGGTTCTCATTTTTTCCCCTTGTCCCTGCCCTCCCTTCACCCCCTCCTCCCCTCCCCATTTACAAACACTTTATTTCCATCTTTTCATTTTCTCACATTTTTTTCTTTTCCCCTATT